CAGAAGTGGCTTTAGCTTCTTAGTGCTGTGCTTTAACCCACTGCGCCACCAGGGAGGGCCCAAATAAATTGTTTTTTTAACAAACTGATCACTTAGGATATTAAGGTGACCCTGGCTGAAAGACATGCCAGGCTTTTTAGTATTCAGTAGTTAATGTTATTCAAACGTCTTCAGTTAAGACTTTTGAAACGGCCGTCTGTTGTGTAGTAGTGGAAAGAGCTGTGTCCTGTCAGAGCTGTGGGCAGCCGAGCTCAGGGATGGAGTCTGAACAGTTCCCTTCTGGGCACCACACTCTCGCCAAGCACAGATTACACATGAGCCCGTGAATCCCTTCACATGCACTGAATCTTTCCTCAGATGTGTCTTCAAAAGATTCCTGATGAAGTATGAGAACCATGTTTAGGGCTCTCATTGACCTTTTCTCCCAGTTCAATGGTTAACCCCAACCTGGGGGATCTTCCAGCTGAAGGGCCTGTACTTACTTGAGGATGTCTTTTAACAACAAGTTGGACCTTCTCATCTTGTTCTGAGCTCGAGTGTACCATTGCAGGGATGGTCTTGAGCAATCCCTTCTTGGTTTTACAGGATTATATTCATTTGGCATAGCTGAAGAGAGATGGGGAGCAGACAGGAGGAGAAAAAAAAAGAGAGAGAGAGATGTATTAGGTGGGTTATGTTTTTAAAAAAGAATTTATGTGGTCAAGTCCATATCATGGAATACTTACTCAGCAATAAAAAGGAAAGAACTATTGATGCATGCAGCAAGTTGGATAAATCTAGAAAGAATTATGCTGAGCCTACACTAAAAGGTTACACACTGCATGATTCCACTTACATAACATTCTTGAAATAACAAGACACAGAAATGCTGGACAAATTAGTAGTTGTTCGGAGTTACGGAGGAGGTTGGGGAGTAGGGAGTGTGGCTGAAAGGGGGCAAACAAAGTGCAGCTCCCTGTATGATGGAGATGGCCCATGTCTTCACTGTACGTGTGTCAGGACCCCAGTTCCAATATCGTGCTAAGATTCGGCAAGATGCCACACTGGAGGAACAGGACATATTACGTCAGCTCTCACCCTGTCATTTTTTATAATGCATGTGACTCTGCCATTATCCCCAGATAAAAGCCCATTTTTTCAAAAGAGCCTTTGCCTGTTACAGATACATAGGGAAATACTTCTGATGAAAGAGCAGGAAGATCTCCTTCAAAAAATCAGTAAGTAAGTGTGATGGGGGGGGGGCTGGAGGAGACAAGACTGGACATTAAACTGGTAAAAATAGAAGCTGAGAGATGGAGACATGGGCTGTTACACAATTCTCTACTGTTATGTCTGAAGTTATCTATAACAAAAAGGTTTAAAAATACAGAGTTATGTTTAAAACAGGAAAGCATTATACCAAGAAGAAAAAAAAGCAATTTTAAAAAGGATCTTTTCCTTAATATATATATATACACACATATATATATATACACACACACAGACATACACATATATGTATGTGTCTGTTCTTAGACGTTCTTTTTTATTAATCTTATTCTCAGGTTTTATTTTTTAATTATTATGCTAAGTGATATTGCAGTAGAAATGAACACCATCACCTCTACCCTCACCATGTGTTCCTCTTCCTCTCTCTTGTAGCAGAACTCTGGCTTTTAGGTGGCCTCCCAGGATAAAGGCTACACTTGCCAGCTCCCTAGAGCTAGGACTGGCCTCATTACTGAGGCTTAGCAAACTGACTTAGAAGCAGTTTCTGGGGTACATCCCTGGGCACACTTTTCCTTCCCCTTAAGGCCCCCTCCTTCCTACTTGCTGAAATACCCATGCATGAGGAGCCACTGTGGACCTCACAGGGACCACATCACCCAGGGGAAGGTGGAGCAAAAAGAAAGGAGGAGCCCAGGTCCCCAAGACCCCCAAGATCAGAGCCACCATTATGACAAGTTCTGTCTTCTTAAGCAATTACATTACTTCTCAACTAATATAATCATAATTGCTATTATGATAAACATATATTAGTTTAAGAAATAATGTCTATACTGGCCAGAAAGAGATTATTATCTCATTATTCACTTACTTTTTCCATTAGGGCTTTGCCATTTTCTTTGAAAAGAACCTCTTATCACAAACTGACACTCAGGTATCTGTTCTTTGCTACTATAAGCAATCTCTCCCTCAACTCCAGTCCTAGGTTGCAGCAGAGTGCAAGAACCTCCACTATATGTATTACATGAGTAGTTTCCATGAATGACACACACACGCCCACACACACGCCCAAAGAGAATGTGTGACGGCCACAGCCACACAGCAGCTGCACAAGGAGGAAGCTCACACCATGCGCAGGAGTGGAATGAGAAAAGTACAGAGGCCCGGCTGTTTGCAAATCACTGGGTAGAGCCAGAACGGATGTGTGAGGTGAGGCTGGGGAGAAGGGTGAGGCAGGAACTGGCACAGGCTAGCAGGGGATATAAACTTGTCAAGGCCCCTCTCCCCAAATAGTTTATGGGTTACTATCTGGGTTCTTCACCTGCGCGCGCACATGCAAGACTGCTCAGGTTTGAAGAAGAACAACAAAGGGGTTTATTCAACAAACCAGACAAATAAGAGTTACTGAGGCCATTAGTGGCCATTTACTTTGCCCAGAGTCGTGTGATCTCTCTGGGTCTCTGACACAAGCTATGCAACGTCTATCGACTGACAGATTCTGGGTAGATCGGGAAAAGCTCTGAAAAATCAGAATTTCCACTGCTGACTTATATAATGACCTCCCTTTTTTGTATAATCATAATATCAAAAATATTGTAGCAACATCAGTTTGTAACTGGATTGCCTTAGCTCTAAATTGGCTACCTGGCCTGGGCAAAGTACAAACTGAGCTGCTCCTGGGCAGGAAATTCCTTTGACTAAAGACAAAAGGCAAGCTCCTGGAGAGATAAGACTCCCCAGCATCAAAGTTTCCTTGGTCTTTTGACAAAAATTGAATCTTAGATAACTCCCAGGGCATAAGGACCATGGACAATTTCCTAACATTATCAACATAGGTTTTGCTTAATGCATAACTAAGTGACTTCCTCTTAATTTACTTTTTTTTCTAAAACAATCACTAACTACTCTCTACTAGTCTTAATTAACCTTTTCCTAAAACAAACACTAGCTACTCTCTGCTAACCTTAAGTTAGCCATTAGCTTCTCTTTAGACTATCACTGACGACTCTGCTAACACAATTTATTCCTTCCCTAGGACTCCTAAATCCTTTGCTAACAGCTCATCCTTTCTCAGACCCTGATCCTTTAAAGTCATAGTTAAACATCCGTATATATGAAAGCTATCATAAAGCAGTAAAGTATAGTGTGCCATAAAGTAGCAGGAAGAGGATGCATTGTTCCCCTTACTTTAAAACTTTTATGCTGATTTCTTATTAACTTACCTGACGCATTATTGTAACTAAATCTTGGTAAACTGTATAAATAAAGACCTGAAAAAAGACAAGCAGGAAGACTTGTACCCAACTCTGACTCCCGTGTCTTCCTCGCCCCCCTTTCCCCTTTTTTCTTCTTTCCCCTTTTTAGGAATCTCCGCTCACCGACGCCTTCCCACCTTAGGGTCCTGCCTGTCTTGCCTCCAGACACCTCAATAGTTGGAGCTGGTCTCCAACAGGTCTCCCTTTTTCTCTGCCAGGCCTAACATAACTTCCAAAACCACTGCTTGGACAAATCTATGCACAATGGCTTCCGCCATGTAGCCTGTGCCCAGCTCTGCGAATCTCTCATGGAGCTGCCCAGGGCCCTCCACCACCATCAATCACACTGTGCACTGCTGTGGCTGCCACCTGGTCTCTCCCTCTCTCTCCTCTCTCCTCTCTCTCATCAGAACAAGAGCACTTCTCTGTTCCTGCTGGACCCCCAGGGCTGGATCCACAGCTCTGTTCTGCATATTGGCTGGTAACACAGTTGCCTCCTCCTCTGCTGATCTGTCTTGTGTCCCCAGCCAGTGACTGACCGACAGGGGGACAGGAAGCGGGCCACCTTGTCTCCAGGCAGGACCATGGTGGCAAAGTACCCTGAGGCATCAAGCTCCAGAGTACCCTGAGGCATCAGTTGAAGGGCCCTTGAATTCTTGTTTGAGGCTCAGCCTCTAAGGGGCCTGACTGAAGATGGATCAGGGGGATCAGCCCATGGCAGGTGGCAGAAGGTCATAGAAGATCCCAAGGAGCCCTTGGGGATTTTGTTCAGGAGGGCATCATGAGATTTGTGAGAGAAAATCACTAGGGAAGCAGCAAGAACAGGGAGCAGGGAGGTGGCCTGCGGAGGGAAGGGGGGGGGGAGGGATGGGAGGGGGGGGTGGTAGACTGGTGAGGAGCCACCACTGTGCTCAGCAGCAGTCTCCATCTCGGCCTCAGGCAAGGTCGGGCAGCTGGGTGGAAAGGAAGGAAGGGCTTCACACTGTAAAACTGACACTATTACAGATGTAGATGAGGTGTCAGTGCAAGAGAGAGTTGGCATGGAGAGTTGGGAGTGGTAAGGTCAGGTTGGCCTTTTGACTCCCAAACACCGGTGGGCCATCAGGTTGATGGGATAAATCCAACGGCAGCTGAAAACCAGGCCTGGATCTAAGCTGGAGCATCAGTCGGGGGTTGTCCTTGACTGCACGTTGCAAGTAATAGAAACCTGGGTGTTATGGCTTATAGCAACTGGGGTTTCTTTTTCTCACAGACCAAGAAGTCCAGGGACAAGCAGACTGGGACTGGCACAGTGGCTGGGCATAGATGCCGTGAAACAGGGGGTGCATGTAGGTAAAGGAAATTTTCTTCTACCAACGCCTAACAGGGAGGGGAAGCTGAACAGGGGATTGCCTTACCTTGAAGACATGTCATTTCTGTGTTACTGATTTCAGAAGTTGGCCTGTCCCTCCGACCCCACCCAAACCAACCTGCCATCCTTGTACCAGCTAGGTCATGGATTTCAAAACTAGCTTCAGCTGTGGAACTCTTTTTATATGAAAACGCAGAATCCTAGCATATTACAGATTAGGGCTAGTTCACTGGTCTTTAGCAGGGCTTCGCCACCTTGGCAAGCCGACATTTTGAACGGGGTGATTCTTTGTGTGCAGGTGGCCCTGGTCCTGCACACAGTAGGACATTCAGCAGCATCCTTAGCCTCCGCCCACATGCCACTGGCATCTCTGGAATTTCCTCTCCCCACAAGTTGTGAAAATCAAAAGTTCCCAGAGGTCACCAACCCTAACATTACTGTCTTTCCTTTCTGGGATAGTCATTACATATAATCAAATTCAACACTGCCTTATTTTAAAGTAGCAAGGGTAATTAAACTTAATGCAAAAACTGAGCATCAAGGACTGTGGGTTGAAAACTGATGATGCTTGTTTCAGTATCTAAGCATCTTGTATGTTCTGCCGGGGTTGCACGATTGCGCAAATCTTGCACCATCAAGATTGCTGTTCTTGCTCTCACCCATACCAGGCACGAGTGCAGGCCTGTCACACACGGGTCGGAGCAGAATGCCAACAGCACATCAGCACCTGCCAGGGCCAAGGTCATGGGGGTGTGCGGGGGAGCCTAGATCCACACAGCTGCAACTGCACCTTT